TTTGCCTACGGTTAGAGGAAGTAATTGCATAACTCTCTTAGAATTTTGCAGTATAAATGGATTATGCTGAATATATTAGGGCCAGCATTAATAAATTGACGGAGACGAGGTATTACAAATGAACACCGCACAGTCGTAAAAAAATCTCAAAGTTAAAATTTTCTTAAACCGAAGGAAACTCTTCCTTTAAGAATAAAATATAAAGAAGGCGTTATGTGCCATAAAAGAAGTACAAGAGAGGAATTTTTCGTGCATGCTTTCGATAAAATATATTTGAATTTATAATGGCATACTAATGCATACTATTTGAGAAGCCATTATTTACTGAATCAACTTCTTCGCAGCGGTCAAAAAGAAGCTCATCACAGAGTCGCGTCCTAGCGTGACTGAAAATAATTGAAATTTGACTGCATGATAAACAATATTGCAGCCCTACTCAATGTTGCTTTGCGAGTAACTACCGGTCCTTTTCAAATTGCGGAATATTTTATGCAGCACTCGCCATGCTGTACTAGTGTGGTACCGAGCTGTGCGAGGTCATAGGATTCCAACCGTTGCTGAAAGGAGACCCAGAGGAGGGGTATTTTAATCTCAGTCGGCGTATTCTCTTTGAGGATATTCTCTAAAGTCCATTAATCTTAACATGGGTAGACTCAGGCGTTGTGGAAATATGTAACATGCTATAAAGTAAGCAGGTAATGGAAGTAATAACGTCGAGTAGGAGACGTACAGAAGTTAAAATCTAATAAAAAGACGATGTACAAGTCGGAAGACTGCTTAACAGGGACCTTATCCTGGACTCGATGGAGGGAGGTTGTTGGCACGTGATCTCAGCAAAGGGGTTTCCGGAAAATTTTCAATTAAAACAACAATGCTCGGAGGTCCGACTAGTCCTCCGAATGTTACATAGCACCTCCTACGATGCAACACTGTCCTCAGTGCTAAGATCATCAAAGGGGGAGGGTACGGGGACCCCTATGACAACTGGAGGGGTGGAGTGATTTCGTTTGCAAGAATGCTGGGGAAACAGATTAGGGGTTGGCCATGATAGGGTTTAATTTTGTCAAAATGCGCCGTAAAGTGATGAAGGTTTGGGATATATGGCGTCGCGGAGAAAAGGGGTAGTTGAAGAAGACACATTTGGAACTACCAATGGTCCGTACCGGGGTAAAACAATTTTGTGGAGGTTCCACGTGGGTGTGGAGACTTGTGGTACATAACGAGGTCGTCAATTTGAAGCCTAACGCCCGGCGAGTGACGGTCTCAGTGCTCCTTTTTGATACAGGCGTGGTATTCGGGTTGTCTTATGTAAACAGCGGAGAGTCTCGCGTAATTATGTGGCGTACTGGTGGGGAGTGGTTGGATTCGGCTAGAATGAAAGTTATAAATCACGTCCAGCCGGGTGCGCGGGTGAACATACAATTTCCGAACTACAAGAAGAGTTAAATTTATTATTCTAATTTATAGCAATTTTTTACGTCTACGGAACTTGGGGATTATAGGCTTAACTTCGTTTTTCTTAACAAACACTTTGTACTTCTTATATTTCTTTTAAGTTTTATATTTGCCTTATGCTGTTTATTATTATTATTATTTATTATTCAAGTTTTCGTAAATGTCTTCACGCCGGTATGCGAGGAATAATCAAACATTTAAAAACTCGCAATACTGTACAGTTACATGAAACCATGATAACTCATCCTCATCACGCCAATATCCAACACGGCTAATGAAATTTCAAAGAATATCTCGAAACTCCGCATATTCATTCCACTCTTAAGGCTTCCAGAACATTTTGCCCTCTAGGTTAGCAAACTCCTTCATGATAGCTCCGTGTGAAAATATTTCCAATGTTTAGTCGACCAATGATTGGGCCGCAAGTATGAGTAAAGGCAGCATCACGCTTATTCGATAGTTCAGCGCATGCTGATTGGCTGGGTGATTTTGTGCGTGCCGCGCGTGGTCGAGTTTCCTGACTGCATTCTAGTTCTCTCTCGTAAGAAAAAAACAGAGAACACTGTGAGTACTACACGCATGTCAACCTCGGCTCCTTTATATCAACAACTGCAGCTTCCTTGATGAACTGGATCGCATCGGCGCGCCAGACTATCGGCCCACGGAACAGGACATCCTGCGGACCCGCGTCAAAACTACTGGCGTCGTGGAGTTTCAATTTAAGATGCATGACATGACTTTCAGGTGCGTTTTGTTTTGTTGTTCTTCTTAGCGTCAGAGCTAACCCTTGGTGCCTAGTGGCTGGTTTTCTATTGTAGTTTAGTTTGTTTTATGATGGCCTGAATAAAGCTGATAAAGGGACTGTGTTTTGCGATTACGAAGCAGTACGACCGTCCAGACACTTTCCCCACAATATATGCTTTGTTTTTCGCAAGAAGCATGCTTTTAGTTGACTCCAGGCTATCAAGGCTTACGCCTGGTTGTCGGTGCACACCTTCAAAGACCCTTCCTAAAGACAATCATCGTACATTTTAATAAAACTATGTTCAAAGAACTTCAGTTGTCTGAACCTCCACTCCTATGGTTTTGCATTTATGTTTTGCTGGTATGAGACTCAACTGAAAAACTCCGGTCTACTAGATCATGACCAGACCTGGTAATTAGAGTGCTTAAGAACCATATGCTTGTCCGACTTTTTTTCCAAAGAGGAGAGGAAGATACTACGTACGGCCACGAGCAAAATGTATTCAGAATTGAGGCAAGGGTTCGCATCCCAGGCACGTGTATAGATTGAGAAGAAGGAGAAGTCGTGTCGATCACCGGAATCATATTTTTATTAGTCTGAGCTTTCGAACTCTTGCAGAGGTCCATCGGCAGAGATAAAATCGTCAACGAAAGCAAGGAACATTTATAGGGGGGAAGGGGCTAATTAACCGTCACAGGGAGCGGGAGAGGACCAGTTAACCACCAGTACCATGACTCTGGAGATACCTGCGCAGGGCAACATATGCGGGCGCCAGCTCTATACATTGGTTGGCTGAGTTGTCATCAGACTTCAATCAGTTCTCGGCCCGTCTTGCTGCCGGCGTGGCCAATTATCCCCGCAGCTTGCTGTCGTCAGAGCTTGCCTCCGAACAATGGTGCCCAGTGACTGGTTTTATACTGTAGTTTATTTTGGTTTATCATGGCCTGAATAAAGCTGACAAAGGGAGTGTGTTTTGTGTTTGCGAGTTAGAACGGCCTTTCAGGCACTTTCTCCCAAAACTATGCCTTGTTTTGCCTCGAGCGTGCCTTCAGTTGACCCCATGCTGTCGAGGCTTCCATCTGGTTGTCGGCTCATGCCTTCAAAGAAAGGAGCGGCCTGGCGGAGCCCCGTCTTATCCTATAAATAATATCGCGAAGACGAAGAGGCGATCGCTGGGACAATGCTTCTATTCGCCTCACGTTTCGAAGTCCGTCTTAGATTCTTCCTCAGAGGCATTAGCATACAAAAACGGGCAATTCATGGGCAGGGAGTTGCAGTGTTTATAGGATACAGTCCCTGTGATACTGCACACTTATGACAATTGACGACTACCCTATCGAGGATAATTGCCCGTTTGTGAGCTAATGGCTTGATGACTGGCGTGCGGGTCGCGACCTGCTGAACTTTCATCACACGTGGTGGAATTGGGTGTGATGATTGCCCGGTCATCTAGTTCTCCGGCATCGACGTTAGATGACGCGTTGGACTGTGCGTTTCCCAAGTGGCGACTGCCTGTGGCAAAATTGAACCTCAGCACCGTATATATGGATTTGGCAGGTCGTTGCTTTTGTTTATAGACTGCAGGCGACTCAATCGATTATCACCTCTCGCGAGAATTTCGGCCTCTTTAAATTTGAATGTGTTGCCGAGTCTCGTCGAATGAACCGCAGCTTGAGCGTTTGGAGTCATTTCGCCGAACTGCTGCCGCGTGCTCGGCTATTCGCGTCTTGATAAGTCTTCCACTTTCTCTGACGTAGTTGCTCTGTCCGCAACTGCATCAGCTCCTATAGACGATTCCAGATATTTCTTGTGTCGTTTGATCTCATTCTCGGACGCCTTATCGTTGTCTCCGGCCTGTGTGCCTCTCCATCCCCAAAAAGGCGAGAAGGCAGCCGACGGGCTCTGGAACGATTTTGACGTACGGGATCGCTCACCAAATTTAGGGGACAGTGCGATTTTGTTGCTCCCCTCGTTTGCGCATGCACCGTTTGACGAATTTGCATGAACACCCGTCGAAGATATTGGTAACTTTGTCTTGTGGTTTAATGCAGTGCGTCTTATGAATTTACCTCTTATAACCTCAGCCAGGTATAATTCCCCATTTCAAGTAATAGTGAAAGCGTTTCGTTTGGGGTTTAATGCATTTTAACGCGATTTCACAACGTTTTTTTGTCCTGCATGTTATGAGTCTGTAGATAGTATCAAAAAACCTGTCTACGCCTTCGAATTTCAGGATATTTGACGTGGGCGGCCAAAGATCTGAACGAAAAAAGTGGATCAAGTGTTTTGAAGACGTCACCGCCATCATCTTCTGCGTGGCAATGAGTGAGTACGATCAAGTCCTCCGCGAAGATGAAACCATGGTAATTCAGTCTGTCTTCTTTTTTTCTTCATCCATTTCAGCCCGCCAGCTTGGATTTTTTTTACGTTTTTTCAAATGCAAGTACTACGGATCTTTGGGTTCATCGGCAGGATAGCAGGACAAGGTCTTTAAAGATCCGTCGTTCCTCGAATATGGCAGTTTGATCGCCTCAACGTCCATGTTGTCCAGCATAGAGTGAGTGCGGCATCTGTGACTTGCACGTGAATTAGCTTAGAAGAAGACAGATTTGTGAAGCATTAATTTAACTCGCTCCTGCTTAACCCCTTTGCTCAGATGACAGGGTGGTTTTTAGATGGGCGTGGACGCAGCGGCTGACAAACTTAAACAGCCCGTCTACGCGTGCCTCACACGATCCCAGCAGCCAGCTGATTGTGCCACGTGACCATAAAGTAGGCGCAGCAGCAGCTTAGATTAGATTTAGATTACAGTTATGCAGGCTTGCAGGCACCTGTCACAACCTGGCCTCCCTTACTTCGAGGACGGAACCAGATCAAAATGAGTAGAATCGAGCATGATTGCTGAAACAGACATTTTATTCAACTGAAGTTCCAGATGCATGCTTGAACCCATCATCGTCAGACGCGAGCACTTCATAAACAGGATGCAGTCGCATGTACGCTTATCGCAGGGGGTTGAGTGAGTCAAATTCGGCAACTGCGATCTTCAGACCATGGCTACTTAGTTGAGGAGAAGTTGGTATATGCTTGAGTAGATGGAGGAGTATACTGTGTACACATAGGAAAGGAGAATAGATGGAAGAAGTCTGACTTGGGTGAACACGTCCGCCGGAAAGCCAGCCGCGGTCCAAGTGACTGTTTGAGAGTCGTTAGGGCAGTAGACAGAGAGCGCTTTCATTGGCTAGGTCGGCCTGGAGATTTTGGGCAAAGAAGCAGCTTGCGTTGGGAACGCGTGCAAGCTTGCTATTCATCGCTTGGCCTAAAGCGCGTAGATGCGGGAACTGTGATTGGCTGATCGAGACGTCGAAAAACCGCATCGGTGAACCTTTAAGAAAATGCACTTCGACGTGAGCTGGTTGGCCAGGCACGACCCACTACAACTACTCCCCCTGGAGACCGTAACGAGGATACTGAAAGAATCCGAGTGGATGAAGTATGGTAAAGTTAGGTGAGAGACATACGTACCAAGGTCAAGTTGCAGAACAGCGAGGGCGGCTGTGGCTGTAATGAGCCTGGGTGGCTGATGAAAGCCGCTGGTCCGGTAAAACGTCAACAGCAAATCAGTATGCCGTATCAG